GTGGGGTGGGAGTGGGGTGCTGTGGGGTGAACCAAGGCTCCTGTTAGGGGGAAACACAGCCTCACTTCCCCTGGGTCCGCCCCGCCCCCTGCCCAGTCCTGACTTGACAGAGTGATCATCCAGCAGTGTCTCCCCCAGACGAGGTGCTTTTTGGGGAACCCAGAAAAGATTATTAATAAGTGCATGGGGAATGAGTGAATAAATAAATGGATTCTCGAGCTCCTATTGGGATTTTGAGCAGAAATTCAGGCTTCAGCCAGGGGAAACAATCCCAAGAGAAGGCTCATTTATTAAGGCTTAGGCTCTCCTGACAGCTCTGTGAGGTCTACATTATCATCACTTTCATCTTACAGGGGAGGAGACTGAGGCTAGAAAGGAGCCCCCATCTCCCTCAGAATGTTGGAGTCTCCCTTCTTTTCCCCTTACCTAGATCCTCTGAGCCTGGAGATCCTGCAGGGCAGGGGGGAGCTGAGTGCCCAGACTCCCCATCCAATGCTCTTGGGACAGGATGCCCAGCCCAGGACCCTGGGAATAGCTTAGACTCCTTTGGGCCATTCTCCAGTCTATTTCACTCCCAACAGACCAATGACGCACCTGTCCCTGCCCCATTAATGTCAGGCCCAGCCTGGTGGAGCAGCTTCTGTTTCTTGGAGGTTTTTGGGGTCCCCCTCACAGGATGTGTAGCAAGAGGTGCTGGACAGAGTGGGGAGGGGGCAATGGTGGCAGAACCTGGGAGGTGGAAATGGGGTCTGGGTCACTTGGCCAGAGTTTGACTCCCGCCTGTGCCATGTGGCTTCACGAGAGCCACTTGCCTTCTCTATGCTTCAGTTGTCACATCTGTAAAATAGTAAAATAAGACAGCAGTGTACCTCAGGCATCATGCGAGTGTCTGAACTGAACAGGCTGGGTGTGCAATAAGCATTTAACAACCAGCTGCTGTGACTTCATTCGTCAGTCTTTCTGTCCGTAAGATAAGGCAGACATTTCCTTTTTTCCCTCCAGGCCCATATGTCAAGGACCATTGGCCCTAGGACTCTGCATGTGATCTCCCAGGAGCAGGGACAGTCCAGTTTCCTGGGCAGGACTGCCCTCCAGACTGTTCTTCCCACTGGGCCCCAGCACCCTGGTCTCAAGGTGTCCTTGCACCTGTCTCCTGTCCTCCAAGGGCAGCTCTGTGTCTAGGGCTGACTCAAGGGTGCCCTGAGGCAGCTCTATCTTGTCCTTGAGAGGGCTGGGTGTGTCCAGGTCAGCCACTTCGCCTTTTTCAAAGGGCATGGTCACCACCAGGGCCTCTTTCAGGGACTCTTCCTCCTCCACCGGAAAGTCTCCTGGGCTGACCCACTGCCAAGCCTGGAGAGGGAGGATAGGGTGAGGCTCTGGTCAGGGCTCTATTTCCTATCCACATGAGGATGGGGTGGACCAGGTCCCTACTGGCTTAATTCTCAAAACTTGAGACCAATTTGAGGATCCATTGGAAGGACCCCCCACTTCTCTTTGGAAAATTGCCCCTGCTTTTCTCATAGTTGATATACTTGGGCATGTGACCCTGGCCCAGTCAATCAGAGCACTCCAGACTCCTGGATCCTGCAGTAGGCTCAGGGATGGGCATGTGACCCATGCTGGGCCAATCTGTGATGGGTGATAGCCCTGAGGGTTTTGCTCCAGTTAATGGGGAAAATGGACATTCTCTTTCATGGGAGAAGGCTGAGCCTGCCTGGGAGAGAAGCCTGCAGGGAGGACAGCAGCACAGAAAGATAAGTCCATAGTTCCTGGATCCAGCCATGCCTGAAGCCCACCACCCTGGGATTCCCCCCCCCCCCATTAGTTGCCTTTTTGTTTAAAGTTACTCTGAGTTGTTTCTGCTGTTAAGAAATGGCCCACAGGAGTTTCTCTTTGGGCCTCTGCTTGCCCATCTGGAAAATAGGACAGGTTTTTGGAGTCCCTGTCTTAGTGAGTTGGGGGAGAATAAAATGAGCTAATACATGGCCATTACTCAGCAGAGCCCTTGCCCAGAGTATAGGTCCAATAAACAGGACCTAGAATTAGAAAAGGAGCCCTTACCTGCTTCCCCTGGCTGCTAGGAAACTCAACAGCAGTGCTGGCACAGGGTGTGGGCAGGGGCGGGCACAGGTGCGGCAAGGCCCTGGAGAGGGAGGGGAGCTGGTCAGAGAGGCAGTGCTTCTGTCTGTTCTTACCGTTGCATTGTTCTGACTTATATTTTTCATCTTTGTTAGGTTACAAAGGTGGTAGTGAGGATATGAATTGGGGAGGGCAGGGCAGGAGTCACATCCCAGCTCTGCCCCCACTGCTGGATGCCATTACCATCTAGACCTCAGCTTCCTCATCTGTAAAGTGAGCAAAAAGCCCTACTTGGCGTGAGTGGTTATTACTGCTACCGTTATTGTTACCACTACTGTTACTATTACTGTTACTATAGCTGTTGTCGGGGGATCATGTCAGGGAGAGGCTGGGAGTTACCTGTTCAGGCTGAAGTACCCAAGGACACCCAGGAGGAGAATGCTCAGGAAGCTCCCCAGAGACGCGAGGATGACGGGGATGGAGGACAAATCAGGCGACTCCGCCTCCGAAAGCTGCACTTCTTGGGGGTGGGAGAGCTTGGGTTGGGGGAGGAAGACCTCCCGCCTCTGGCCAAGGAGGGAGCTCTTTGGGCCAGGCCCTCCATGAACTCCCTCTTGACCTTGGCACAGCACAGGCTCCCACTGCCTCAGTTTCCTCACCTGTGAAGTGGGAGACCAGGGGACCCACCTGACCCGTGACTATGGGATAAAGGCCTGGCGCACAGGAAGTGCTCAGGACTCTGTAGCTCCCCTGGACCCAGAGGTGCCCATACCACACCAAACCTGACTGGTTCTATTGGCTCTATCCACGTTTCACTGCAAGGACAACAGCCAGGGACTGTGGCAGGAACAGGGATCATTTAGTCTCCAAATCTCTCAGTCACACACCCCAAGACAATGGAGCCCACTTCTTTATCCTTGTGATGAGAAAGTCACTCATTCATTCATATGCATTCCTTCACTTACTCAGTAAACAGTGCCCCTGCTCCCTCATCCTCTCCAGAAGCCCCCAACTGGAGAAGGCAGAGCCAGACACAGACACCCCCACCCACTCCCAAGGTGTCAGGTGGGGAAGAGGAGCAGTCACAGCTGGAGGGTGCCCAGAGGGAAGCACAGAGGGCTTCCTGGAGGAGGAAGCTTTTGCACTGAGCTTTGAAGGATGAATAGGAGTTTGAAAACAGGGAGAAAAAACATTCCAGGCAGAGGGTCCCTCATGGGCAAGGCCACAGGAGTGTGAGAGACAGTTCAAAAGGGGAAGCTGTCGGAGATGAGGTTGGTGGAGGCAGTGGGAGCAGATCAGGCTGGGACTTTCTCCTGAAGGTGATGCACAGAGGGCAGGGCTTCTTACAGGTGGGATGGCGCAGTGCATATAAATACCTGGGCCCTGCCCCTGGCGCCTACTCACCCATTCGGAAGCCCTGGGGCTGGCTCCAGGTGCCCCTCAGTGTCGCGGTGTCCGCTCGCACCCGCACGCTGTAGGCTGTGCCAGCCCTCAGACCACCAAGGGTGACCTGGGTCTCTGTGGGGTTCACGGGCAGCTCTACAGGGGAAGCAACCATAGGTCCATGGATCCCCTTTACTCCCAGGAGGCTGGGCTCGAGCAGTGGGATGTCCGTGGTCCCACCCAGCTGGGCTGTCACACCATGGGAGTGGAGTTGCTGATATGAGTGAGAGGTTACCATCCACATGCCTGGCACATTGTGAGCATTTGGCCAAAGCCCACTGGGCCCTCTCTGGGGGCTTAGAAGAGGCAGTCAAGACCTTTGAATCCAATTATCTTGTGTTATGGGAAAACCAGGGACTAGAGAGGGGCAGTGATGCACCCAGGGTCACACAGCAAGGCAGGACTCACGCTCAGACCCCTTCCTCCCCTAGCCAGGCCTGCGCTGCCCTGCATACCAGACACCTGGTTGCTGTCTTCGTCCTGGTAGCGTACAATGTACTTCTTTAGGACGCCAGGGCAGGTGCTCAGCAGAGATGGCATCCAGTCCACAGTCACCGAGTTTGGGCTGAGCATCTTCACTGAAATGTGCTGTGGGCTCCCAGCCTCTGAGGCTGCAACCAACACCATTGCCATGGTCAACTCCAAGGGCTCTAGCCAAGCATTTCTATCCCAGCACTGTCCAGGTAACCTTGGCCACAGAATCCCAGCTCCACCACTCAGGCGCTGTCACTTCCCCTCTCTGAGCCTCAGTTTTTATATCTATAAAATGGGGCAATGCCTCTCAGGGTGTCTTAGGAGTTGACTGAGCTCAATCTATATGCCTGGCATTGGCCAAGGTCCGACATGCAGTAGGTACCTCTAAATGCTTATTCCCTCCTCCTGACTCCTAAGACCATTGCTGAGTCCTCCAGGGAGACCACCCTGCAAGTTTGGGCCACTCACCGTTGCCCCCAAAGTAGTAGGTGGATAAGACTGTGGACCATGAGGTGGGCTTCTTCGGTTGTGCAGAGGAAAAGATGGTGATGTGGTAACACATCTTCTGCCCCATTGCCCCGGAAGCTTGGCTCCAGTGGTGGGTTACTGAAAGGATTAGCAAGGGCCAGGTCAGTAAATAGTTTGTGTTCCCACCTCTGCACCTTTGCACTGGCTGTGCCATCTGCAAGGAACTCCTAGAGCACTCCTACTTACATGTCAAAGCCTTTGCACCAATATCCCCTCCTCCAGGATCCCTTCCCTATGCTCCCCAACCCACCACTAAGCCCTCCAGCCCAGCAATTACTCCACAGGGCAGAGTATCTGTATCCAGCTTTCTCCCCAGGCTGGGAGTTCTTTGAGGGACAGGTTGAAGCTAAAGCTTCCTGTGGCCCCGGCCAGGCCCAGGACAAGAAGTGGGAGAGTGAAAGGCTTCCTGGGTCACATAGCACCTTCTCTTTCACTCCAGAGGCCTCATTACTTTGCCACCAGCATCTTGCTAGCTGCCACCTTCCTTGATGAGGGTGAATGTTTAAGAAACACCCTGGAATGTGAGACTCATTACCCTCCTGGGTGCCATCTGCCCGAGGCTGAGCCCTGTCACCCAGGTTCCAGGCAGGAGGCTCCAGCCTGCATGGAGGGAGGTGGGAGAGTCTTGGCCTGTCCCCACCTCTGTATGATTCAAGCAAGTGGCAAGACCTCTCTAGCCTTAGACACCCTACATGTACAATCCCTGTAGGTCAGAGCCAGCCGGGAGCTCTAATGGAGGAGACAGAGGGCAACCACCACCATGGTACCAGTTCCAGCAGAATCTGGGTCTTTGGGCGCAGTGAGGGTGCAGTTGGCGGGGCTCTTGTCCTGGCCCTGGGGCTGCCACTCAATGCAGTACGTCAGGCCTGGAGCCCAGGCCCGCCAACTCATAGTGGTCCCATTGGCTCCAGCACTGATATTCAGAGCTCCTGGTTCTGAAAGGAGGTAGGGAGGCACATCAGGACAGCCGCCTCAGTCTGCCCCTCCCCTCACCAGGGCTCCTGTAGCCCCTCCCCACCCTCTTGCCCAGCCCTACCCCATGGGGCCCAGAGTGTCTGTATCTCTGTCTCCGCCCACTGGGAGCTGCTAGATGGGAGGCTGGGCACAGAGGGGACAGAGGGGCTATTTAAATGAGTTGAATCCTCCCACAGCCTGACCAAGGGTTCTTTGCCAGGACACCCCCATCAGTGCTACATGGATTGACACATTCCCTGCACCAGCCTGGTTGCTGGGAGTCTCCTGCTCCAGCAGATGCCTGGCCAGCTCCCACCCACCTTACTCAGGGGTGGGTGGGGCATGATCAGAGCTCAGAGGTGGAGGACACACCCACTCAGTCCCCTGAGTACATCTCTCCCATTCCCTAGAGCAACCTGAGAGGTTAGTGCTCCTTCCAAGCACCGACTGTACACCCTAGACCAGTGCCAAGTACTTTACAGGCACCATTTTGCTATGCAGTGGGACCATGGTCACCCAATGATATAGAAACTGAGGCTCAGAGAAGGAGCGTCACCAACCCAAGGTCACACAGCGAGGCCATGGCCAAACCAGGCCAGCGGCTGGCAGACTCATTGCTGTGCCACCCTGGCAAGTGGCTTCACCTGTCTGAGATCTCAGCCGTCTCAGCTCTGAAACAGGCATCATTGCAGTAGCCCTGCCCTCACAGGGTTGTTGACTGCTCTACAGGGCCAGGGCCAGGCTGAGATGAGCGAGGCACTCATCTCAGGCATGAAATTTAAGGAAGAAAGGAGAATTCGGTCATCAAGATAAACACTGTCTTAATGCAATCTTTTTAAAACATCAAAATGAATGCAAAAATAACATCATACTGAGTGAGAGAGAAGCTAGACACAAAAGGCCATGTAGTATGTGATTCCATTTATATGAAATGTCCAGAACAGGTAAATTCATAGCCACAGAAAGTAGATTAGTGGTTGCCAAGGGCTGGGGGAGGAGGGATGGTGAGCGACTGCCAATGAGGATGTGGTTTCTTTTTGGGGTGACGGAAATGTTCTGGAATTAGACATAGTGGTTGCACAACATTGTGAATGCACTAAATGCCACTGGATTGCACATGTTAAAGTAGTTAATTTTGCTATGTGAATTTCACCTCAATGAAATATATATGTGTGTGGGTTTACACACACACACACATATATAAATATAAATCTTAACTTTTTTTAATCCTCACCTGAGGCTAGGTTTTCATTGATTTTTTTTTAGAGAGAGAGAGGGGAGGGAGAGAGAGAGAAACATCGATGTGAGAATCATCAATGAGTTGGCTCCCGTATGTGCCCTGACCAGAGATCGAACCAGCAGCCTTTTGGTGTATGGGATGACACTCCAACCAACCGACCCACTTGGCCAGGGCAATATAAATCTTGATTTTTCATTTTACATATAAATACATGTATGTACTTAATATGTATATTGAACAAACTATCAAGATTTTAAATGAAGATAGAATCAACCCTGTACTTGCATGACCCTGGCTCATTCGCCACACCCTGATCGCAGCCCTTGTCCCCATAAAACTTTATTTACAAAAAAGACAGTTATCCTGGGCTGTAGTTTGCCAGTGAGGATTTTTTTTAAATATTGCATTATAACATTATGTATCTTGACTACTGACTTTTGACACACCTCTAAATTAGACACCCCCTTAAGTTTTTGTGTGTCCTCCACCTCACCCTAGTCTAGCTGAGGCTCGGAGCAGGAGCTCAGCTCCCAGGCGCCCTCCAGCCCTCCCCAGCCGGAGGAGTTACCTGCGTGCGTGTGGGCAGGAATGTGCCACGACTGGTTGGGGCCGGGGCCAAAGCGATTCCTGGAGACAACAGCCAGGTCATAGGCAGCACCCGAGAGGTGGAGTGCTTTTCTCAGACTCAGGGTCCTCGTTGCCTTGGCCTTGCACGTACAGGACAGCATGTGCAGGTGGAGGTGGTAGGTCACCTCTGCGCCAGACTTGGACCCATGGCAGCCTTCTGGGAGCTGGAGCTGGAACAGCTGTCATGAGTGGGAGAGAAGGCTTGTGGGGACCTGAACAGGTTCATTGTCCTCATGGGCACAGCCCATGAACACAGATTCATCCATGGGCCACAGCCTATGACATATGCCAAAAATTTGAAAAATAATAAACCTTGCCCTCCCGGGCATGGCTAGCAGTTAAGCATCAGCCTAGGATCCAGGGGATCGCGGTTTGATTCCTGGTCAGGGCACATGCCCGGGGTTGCGGGCCGATCCCCAGTCGGGGGCGTGCAGGAGGCAGCCAGTCAGTGACTCTCTCATCATTGATGTTTCAGCTCTTTCTCTCCTTTTCCGGTCCTCACTCTAAAATCAATAAAGATATATTTTTAAAAAAATAAATAATAACAATAAACCTCAGTGCTAGCAAGGCTGCTGAGAAACGCATTCACATCCAACGCATGACGGTTTTGTTTGTTTTCTTGGTGGCGGGAATAATTTGGCAAAACCCGCTGAAAGCCAGGAGGAAAAAAGTTTCCATTTTTGGACCCAGTGACCTCGCCCTGGAAATTTTTCCTAAGAAAAGGAATTAAAATGAGAGGAAACCCTGGAAGTGAAGGAGCCTCCATGTAGACTTATTGTGATGGCCCACTGGGGACCTGGCTGAGTCAATTATGGTGAAATTTGTCATGCTTTTGCCCCTGACTCAGGTAAGAAAAAATATTTTTATTCCTCACCCGAGGATATGTTTATTGATTTTAGAGAGAGGGGAAGAAAGAGAGAGATAAACATCTATGTGAGGGAGAAACATCAACTGGTTGCCTCCCACACACACCCGACTGGGGATAAAACCCGAAACCTAGGCATGTGCCCTGACCGGAATCAAACCCTCAACCTTTCGGTGTCCGGGACAACACTCCAACCGACTGAGCCACCCGACCAGGGCAGGTAAGAAATTTTCCCTCTGTGCCTCAGTTTCCTTCTTTGTAAAAGGGTTAATTAGTTTGACTGTTCTAAATGGGCTGCTTTGGGGGCAAAGAGAAATCATCTCCCATCCAGACCAACATGATTGACCCCTTCCTGGCCTTCCAGTGTCCACCAAAGCCCCCCACAATCTGTTGTCCTGATGGCAGCCAGAGGGAGCCTATGAACACCTGAGTCCAACCATATCCCTCCTCTGCTCACATACCTTCCATGGTTCCCAGTACATTCAGAGTTAAACCCTCAGCCCCCCCAGTCTCTGCCACCTACACGTCTTGTCTCCCTCGGTCCCCCGCTTGTGCACCGCCCTCCTTTCCCCTCCCCTTCCCCCTCCCGCCAGCCTCTAGTCTCCTCCCGGGCCCCTGCACCACACAGCCCTGAGACAGCCCTTGTTACCTGCCTCTGCAGGGTCACTTGCCTCCTCCCATCCAGGCCAAGCGGCTCCACCAAGAACAGCACCTCCGGCAGTGGGGGCGGGTCTGTCATGAAACAGTCAGACAGTGAGTGACGCCTGAGTCCCAGGGCTGCCTTTTCTCATAAACTCCTGCAAACCTTGGATGGGGATCTGGGACCTTTTCCTTCCCTCCCATGAAACACAGGATTACATGGGTTCTCAAATACCTTACAAATCTGAAAACACAGAGATATGTTTCACAATATGAATATACTTAATGTGATGGAACTAGACACTGTAAAACGTGTAAAATGGTGCATTTAATGTTATATGTTCTTTATCACAATTTAAAGAAAAATCTGAAAACAGCTCTTAGAGTTCTTGCCCAGCAGACATGCCATTGGAAAGGAGGAGGCCCCAGCTGGCAGGGTTGGGGACAAATGTTGACAGTCACCCCCATCCCACCCTCC